AAAAAAAAAAAGTATCTTCTTGAAGTCCCATAAATTAAGGTAAAGAATAAGAACAAATCATTCTGGAAGAGCCCAAAGGAAAATAGCTTTAGATACTTAAGTGACAATAGAATTTATTCTCATAATTGTTTTAATAGCTTTTGTATAATCCTCATCGCTATTATGAGATATAAAATGTATTTATCAAATCTGTAATCATTATGCCAAAAAATCTGAATTACTGTAATATTTTGCATATTGTTAAAACTGTAACTTTAATTGTAAAAAAAAAATTAAAAAAAAAAGAAAAGAATAACTAAAGCCTTTAAGGAAACCACTGTCACAGTCAGTCAGGCCATTCATTTTAACCTTTTCCCCCTAAAGAACTGCATCTGATCAGATGGTTATTTGAGGTTCACCAGGTACACCAAAATTCAGAAATAAATTTTTAAATTTAAAAAAAAAAAAAAGCTTCCTATATTTGCTCTGCAGTTGAGTGAAGCTTCACAGAAAGGGTGATTTGTCTTCAAGTGTGTGTTGGAGTATAGTAGTTGGGTGGAGAACTCTGTTCAGATTCCAGAGAGTCAAGGATATGGCATACTTGAGCATGAAATAGGAAACAGAGATTGAAACTAAGCAAGGAAGGCAGGGGCCAAGGCTGATCGCAAAGACTTCGCTTTGTCTGCATTGCCTCTGTACATTTTTTCATATGAAAAAAGGAGCATGTTCGGGATCATTTTATATTTTTAATTGCCATGGAACTGTGTTATAAGAATATAAATTATCATCTCAAATAGTGACTGAAGCATATTTTTCCTTCTATAGAAATCATCCTTATTTATCTGTCCTCATTCAGTCTCCTCTAGTCGTGTTCCTTTGTACTCAGGTCCCCACAAGGTCTGGGTTGTTGTGTAATGTCTGCCTCTTAAAATCCAGGCTGTGCCACCAGTGACCCCATGGAAGGCTGTTCCTTTTGAGTCTCATCCTCTGCTCTGTGACCACTTGGTGCCCCTATGTTAAATAATCTTTTTTTCAATGTTGCCTTTGGCAAATTACACAATATTCTAATTATTTTCTCTTTTGATCTAGACATCTGGATAGTTCTTTGATGCATTGTTCAGTAGGAGCCAGAATTATTTGTTTATCCCCTAGAGGAGCCGAAAAATCATTTTATTTATTCATTACAAAAGTTTTTAATGATTAAGCTGGGGGGGGGGTGTGTGTGTGTGCGCGCGCATGCACGCACGCACGCACATGCGTGAATTCATGCTTTCATAGACATCTGAGCATTTATTTCCTGAAGTTCATGGCCAGATTTAATGTAATCAATCACCCTTTGGTCTTCAGTTTTCTCTCTTCCCTGGTCTTGATAGTCTTCACACAACTTAGCACTTTTCTATTTTCTTTTTTGTTTTGAGACAGGGTTTCAAAGCGGGGTTTTGAAAAGACAGAGTTTCAGCCAGTGTAGCCCTGGCTGTCCTAGAACTCATCATACAGACCAGGCTGACCTGAAACTTACAGAGAACTTCCTTCCTCTGCCTCCCGACTTCTGAGATTAAAGGTGTGCACCATCATGCTGGCCCTATCCCTCCACCCCCCGCTCCCATACCACTTCCTCTAACCTTTTTCTATATTGGCTGTACTTGAATCTGTGGTCTGTTTACTATGCTTTTTAAGAGTAGACACCTGTTCTTTTGTTGAATTCATCATGGGTGGATCTCAATTATAGTGATTTGAATAATGTCCCTGCAAGAGCTGTGTCCAGGTCCTAAGCCCTAATATCTCTAAGTATTACTTCACTTAGAACTAGAGATTTTGAAGATGCAGTTCAATTTGGAGGTGTGATCTTGTGTAAGGTGGTCCCAAATGCAAAGGCTGGGTTTCTTAGAAGAGTCACAGAGCAAAGAGACAAGGAGGAGGTCATGTGTAGACCCAGGCCAAGCTTGGTGTTCTGCAGCCCAGGAACTCCAGGAGCCAGAGGCTGCAGAAGGCAAGGGCAGGCCTTCCAAGGCAGCACGGTGCTCCACATTCAGACTTCTGGCCTTGGAACCCTGGAAGAATGCACTTTTGTTATTTTAAGCCATCATGACTTGTTACAACATTCCTGTGAAACTACTGCATCAATTTTGTAATTCCAATCTTAATTCTCTTCCTGTTACTTTTGAACTTTTGAATACTTACTGAATCATGGTTTGGAAATTAGCATATCCAACACACCAACCTCCCTTTTCTCCTGTATTCCAAAGTTCAAAATCACCATTGGTGCTTGCTGTTCTTTTCCCATCTGTGTGGAGACTGACCCCGCAGTTCTTCTCACTCATGGCGTTTTCTGTTACTTCTGAAGTCGTTTTCAGAGAAATCCAGAGTAGACTCAGGAGAACCTGTTTAACTTATCTTCAGAGTGCTCCCTGTGTGGTCAGCTGCCACATAGATATTTCTTATTTACTATTCCTGGTTCAGACACTGTAGCCAGCTCTGAGTTTGGG